GAGGTAGTCCTGCATGCGTCTGCAGGCCTTGGCGTCTTCTTCTATCTTTCCACACCGTTTCTTTATGTACTTCAGAAACAGCGTTGTATTTATCTTTCGGACCCCTATTTGTAGTATTCTTAGATAGTCTGTGAGATTGTGCCACCAGTTCTGGGTAGCTTATATTTATGGAATGGTATCGGTATTATTATTAAATTGTTACATTTCATTTCTTCCACTTTATTATTCCCACTGTTTATGTAATGTTTATTTATAATTGTTAAGGGATTAAAAATGAAAAGGGTTAAATAATTGGAATAATTGGCTTGCCTAGCTTTCACTAGTAGGCACAATCACGACTCCCGGGGGTGGAAAATCCGGGTCGTGACAGATTGCTAACATACATTTGTTGGACAAGTTAATACAACCTATAGACAGGATTTCTAATGCAATTTAATTTCCTATGAGCAGGATTTCTAATATGCAAGCATAGTTCATCACTCACACGATTTCAACAGAGATGAGGTAAAACAGGATTAGTAGAGCAAATGAAGCCCTATTGGTAGGATCTCTACCCGGATTGCCCAAAGAGAATAAAGACCATTCCCAATTTTACTATATACCCCAAAATCTGTTTGTTACAAACTTACTACAGGCCAGAGTAAATGAATAAATTACATAATAGTAGCAAGACAACTATAGGGAGCCTTCATTAAGCCCAACTGAACCTGGGAACCAGGCCTTCACACCAATCAACTTTGGGCTCATTTCATAGGTACAGTATAGCCAAAATATGAGTGATCCACTGATAGCACATATAGAACCGAGTTTTCAGTGTGTCAAAGTTCCCAAGGGTCTCAGGGACCCAGGGCAATGCTTACACCAGAACCATGCATTTAGCAGATGATTCACAAGAGATGGGTAACCAGTTTCCAGTGTATCAGAGTTCACAGGAGTCTCATGTGGAGCCTGAGCAGTGCTCACACTGGGGTGGTTGAGAACCTAAGGGACTAAGAGTGAGGTTTTAAAAATCAACATATAAAAGGGAGTAGGGGCAGATTTCAAACAATTTCATTTTAGAAGAAACAGGGCTTAGAACACAGAATTGCATTCAGAAAACAGCAAAGTTTGCAAAGTACATAATTTCAAACAGGTTAATTCACAAGAGAGACTTAATTACACTAAGGGAGCATGCTGACATTTAAGACAACCATTGTTTAATAACTTAGGCAAAGCAGTCAGATCATCACATGACATATTAACAGACAGGGCACATGAGTTAAGCAACAAATTAGGACAAATTAACTAATTACATGCTTGTAGTATCCTAAGAATGAAAGGTTCAAAATAGGTACAGAATTAACAAGCAGTGTGCCCGGACAAATTGAACATTAAGCTAACTTACAAACTAACAGTATTAACCATAAGAGTCATAGGAGCACAAAAGTATAATCATGCTAAAAGTAAGGTTCAAGACATGCTGCTCAAGTAACACTGATTACGAAAAACATGGAGAATGAAACGACAAGGGATTAGGGCTTACCAGCTAAGCAAGAAAACAAGTAGATATGCTACAGCAGTTAAGTTCCAGAATCACTTGGCCTTGGCTTTCAGCCGGCCAAGACCAGAAACAATGAGCACAGAATCAGAGTAAAAGAACTAAGTTTTAGTGAGAGTGTGAGAGTTTGAGTATGTCCTAAAGGGAAAGGGGGAAAGGGTTTAAATAGTGTTCAATTAGGCAGACAAATAAGGGAATAAATCAAACATACACAAATAAGGAAAGAAGATTTATCAAGATTCAATTGGAGTCAGAGTTTAGTCAATTAACGAGTACAGGCAAGTACTACTTAGAATAAGGAAAATATCAATTAACAGTCAGCCTCACAGCAAATAAGGCAAGCAATAATAGAAGCATGGTAGATTGACTGGAGATAAGGAAAGTATCATTACCATACGAGAAAGGAAAGAGTAAAAGTCTTAAACCCTAGTTTTAGGTAAAATATGCAAAATCGGCAGTAATAACAAGCGAAGAGATACATATAGGCATATAGACAAAGATTTTAACACTATGATTAAAGAATCAAACAGATTTGGTTTGATCTTGCAGAATCAAGAATCCCTAATTTAGAGTAAGTGAAAATCGGTCATAAATTAACGAAGAGAGTTATAATAGGATGCATAGAGACATATAGACGGGAATAATTAAGGATTGAACCAGATTTGGTTCGATTTAAAAGAATCAAAAACCCTAATTATAGGGTAAGTAAAAATTAGTCAGAAATATCAAAGAAAATCATAATAAAATGCACAGGGACTTATATACGGAAATACTAAAGGAAAAATAATTAAAGAATCGTGAACCAGTATTAGATATTAGGAAGATCTGAACCCTAGTTTTAGGGTGAGCAAAGAATCGCGAAGAATCTCAGAGATTCATGCCATAAAAGAAACGAGAACAAACACAAACGGAAAGAGACAAAGATCTGAACCAGATATGGTTCAAAAGTAAGGGAGATGTGCTTGTTAGGCAAGCAATTATGTAACACCATAAATGGGTAGCCAGTAATGGGGAATGGTCAATAAGGTAAGGGAATCGCCGATTGATTCCATTTTTGGGTTGGAATCGAAGGGGATTAGAGGTTACGACGCTAGGGTTTGCAGAGACGAAGAGAGAGTTTGAGAGAGTTTAAGGGCGGCGGATGGTAGAGAATGGGATTAGGGTTTGGGGTTGGGTAAATTAAAAGGGTAGGCTAAATATGGACCGTTGATCTCTAAGTTCAACGACCAGGATTTTAAAGAGGGGCTGGGGCGGGTCAATTAAACGGGTACCGGTTGGGTTATTGGGTTAGGGATCATTTGGTTTGGACTGGAGTGTTGGGCAGGTGCATTTTAGGTAATTGGGCTAGGGGTTGGTCCGAAATAAGCTTAAAATGGGCTGCTATTTAAATACCCACTATCTAACAAATAAATAATTGATAAAAATAATTGATAAATAACAACAAATATTACTTGTGCTTGAAAATGATTAAAAATAATTACTTTATATAATAAAAATATAAAAAGTCATTTTTGTATAAATAATATAATTATATATGCATATGGGCTATTATTGTAAAATGTGCAATTTAGCCCTAAAAAATGCAAATGTAATTATAAAAATACACTGAAAAATATTTAAACATTATGTTGTCATAAATGATGAATTTAGATGGTTAAATCATCATAAAAATAATTTGAAGGATAATTACTGAAAATTTATATAATAAAAATGCATAAATAAATTGATTTAAATCCTTTAAAAATAATAGAAAAATTGTGAAAAATTACTTGTGCATTCTTCTAAATCCAATGATAATGCATGTGCACTATTTTGAAGGTATATATGCATATTTGAAATATATGAGGGAAAAATTGGGTATCAACAACACGATCATACACGCTTGATGAATTTAATCAAAGAATGTCAAAGATTGAAGAGATCGACATATGTGTTAAAGCATACTTATATGATATTGGCTATCACAGATGGTCTCTAGTACATGCTACGGTGAACAGAACTTGGACTATGACATCAAACATTGCAGAGCCATTGGATGCGGTAACAAGAGATGCAAGAGAGCTGCCGATAGTAGAACTATTAGAGTACATGAAGACTCTTCTTGAACGTTGGACTAATGTGAAAAGTTATTGAAAGCAAAGGGTACATTCACATACCTTGGATTAAATACAACAAAGAGTTGGAGGACAACAAAACATTATCGCAGAAGCTTAATGTAAGCTATATCCAATAACATCTGATCAATCATTGCATCAAACTAAAATATTAACAGACATTGTAGATAAATTGTTGAATAATTGTAGTTATTTTGTATATGTTGCTGATAATTTGTTGTGTGTTTGTAATGTAATTGTAGGTGAGGGCTTCAACAGATTACATCCATACAGTGATAGATGGTGTGAAGTGCTATATTGTTTGTCTTGAAAACAAGAGATATAGTTGTGGACAATTCCAGCTTGATGAACTTCCTTGTGCACATGCTTTGGCTACTTTAAGGCACAGGAATGAGTCTTATGAAAAATATTGTTCTCCTTATTACACGAGAGAGAGCCTCTTGCATACTTATGAAATACCAGTAGACCCGCTGCCTGATGAAAGAAAATGGAATGTGCCACAACATTTAGTTGAAGAAGTTGTAAATCCACCATCCGGGAAAAGACAGCCAGGAAGACCTCACAAACAATGATACAAAACATATGATGAAGTAAATGCAAAGAAGTACAAGGTTTCATGTGGCAACTGCGGAATAGAAGGGCATAACAAAACATCTTGCAAGAATGCTCCCAAGAAGAAATAAAATTTGATATAGTCAACAGACTTTTTGATAAAAAGTGTTAAGGTGTTCAGGAGAATTATAGTTGAGGTGTAATTGTGTTGATAAATTGAGTAAAGATTGTTTCCTATAATGAAATGTTTTCAACTCTTAATGTAGTTGGTTCGAATTTGTTTTGTTTAATTACTGAGTGTATTAAGTTCACTTTCATAACTTGATTGGATTATGAAGATTTTGTATCTATAATACACAATTATTTAATTATCTATAGCACAAATCATTAGTGAATAATGATTCTTACAAGTTATCTACAAAATAACTACATAATCTGCGTTGACAGAATAACTACATAATAATTAAGTTCTAAAGGAGTTTTATGCTAACAATAATGAAATCAAGTACTAATAACTTTCGACCAATCAAGATAAAAACAACATAATGTTTCCCATTGTAAGCACTAGTATCCTGGATAAAATAACAAAACATAGGGTAAAATAATTGTAGCATAAATCTGCCACAATTAAACTTCAACAAACTTGTTCATAAGTAACAATTTGTCTACAACCTTTCTACAAAACTAACTGCAATTAAACAATTTAACTACATTTTTCCTTCAGAAAATGGCAACTAATTCTTCTTCTTCTGGACTTGTGTTCTCTCGTTCACAACTGGTGCACCTTTTTTCCTTCCTTATCTGCCAGTCACCTCGCTCTCACTAATTGCACCAGTATCTTGCTTCTTCCTAGGGTAGTCCCATAGTAGCGTTCCATAGCGTCTACGATGTTGATCAATATCAGAAAGGTCATCCGTAGAAACTACTAGGTCTCCAATGCTGGCATACTTTGCAAATGCAACAACGTATACACCACAGTCACTACAAAAAGAATAATAGGGAAAATATTTAGCATACCATGAGCAGAAAAAAAAATATGTTAAATAGATAGAAGGAAAAGAAGCTTTTTCATACAGTGATCCCTCTTTTTGCTGTGGTATCTCACCTAACCACTGAATGTCAATAGGGTCAGTAACACCTTTTTCAATGTATGCCTTTGTGTTCTTGATGTTGATGTCTGGACGCTTTCCATAGAAACCGGTGCATGACAAGTAAAGGGGGATCAAAAGAGCAAACTTGGTGACGACAGATTCAACAATGGTGTGATTAGGTGAAGAGACCATAGAATCATACACATAAAGAACCCTATCGATAATGTCAAAAACAACCAACAACCAATGAAATTTTTCTACAATGTTGATGGGCATGATCACGAAATCAACTTGATCCCATGCAACATTTGTGAGTAATCTGTACCCCAATATGTATTCTACTACGATGTCCTGGGGTTTGACAATAGCAAACTTCTTTTCGGGAGGAGCATTGATGTACCTCTGATAAATTTGTTCAATTCTAGTCTTGAATATACAATCAGTGGTTGTAAACCTTATCTTCTTGTGGGGACCGTACTTTCCTCTTTTTCTCAAGTAGTACAAGATAACATCATTGTGCTGCAACAAAAACAGATTTCATTTGTTATTAATCATTCTTACAATTTATCTACAATATATCTACAAATAACTACATTGTCTGGAGATGACATGATAACACAGCTATTCATTAAATTCTGACAGGGTATGTGTTTACCAAGTCGTTGAGGACTTGCCCGGGATGTGCCAAAATATAGAACCACTCCTTTTTATCAACTTTCTCCACTCCAAGATCATGACATGGCTTAAGTTGGTTATTTTTTACAGAATAAGGCGCCTTCCTCCTATTTTTACACATAGCAATTACAATAAATATGTAGATTGAAGTGGATATCCAAAAGATGAATGCACTCAGAAATATGAACAAATTGTATAAACTAACCTCTTTGAAGTTGTATCGGTACCAAGGTATAACCAGTTGTTGAATTCGTCCAACAACTCAGGATCAACATCTTCACCTATAATCCTAGTAAACGGATGCTTGATTTGAAAAATTGGAGGTCCAACAGAAGTGCTGCCACCAGAACTGTAAAAAGGGAGAAAGGGTAATCGGGCATGCTCTTCAGGCTGCCTTGTTCTTCCTTGATGCACAGGGGTTGTTTCATCTTGGTTAAGCTCGCCGAACTTAACAATCTGGGAGAAGTTCCCTGGCAGCTCAAAGTCATCAAGTGTAACTTCCCTTTTCTCATATCTGGAGTCGTCTGAATCACCTAGATTAACGTACTCGGCTGGTTCACCTCCTTCTTCACAGCAATCATCTCCTTCTTGTATAACATTCTCTTCTTCAATGGGAGATTGAATTTTTTTCCCTTCTCCTCATTCTTCTATTCTCCTTGAATGCTTATTGTATCTTCATGTCTTGGAGATTATGCAGGCATAGCTTCCTTCACAGTTACAGTAAGTATGTTTAACTTAATTAATTTGTAGAAAATTTTTACTAAACACTAACATTTCTGAATACAAATTGTAGTTTAAATGTAGTAAATTTGTTGAAATGATGTCATGCATATGATAACAGCTAAGTTTATTGGGAAATGTGATGATAACATGTACTAACTCATACCTGCATTATCTTCATCAATTGCCCTTCAAAATGAGAATATAAATCAACACGTACAGGAACATTCTCATTAATTTCCATGTCACTCACATGTCTTGTATCTAAGAAACCCGTTTGAATTATAATGCACATTAGTTGATACAATTTTAGGCAATATGTAGGTATATTGTAGACATATACATAAATATGTAAATCTGTGTAGATATACTGTAGACATAATGTAGATATATTGTAGATATGTATAGACATATTTTAGATATAATGTAGATATATTGTAGATATATTGTATATAATGTAGATATGTTGTACATACCTTTTTTACTGCTGCTGGTCACTACTGCACGGAAAATGTTGATTGTTCTTTTCTTTTGATTGCTAGCAATTTTTGTAGAACTCCCACCAAACTGTAGGCTTTAAATTTGTTAGGATATATACTTTATGAACGATAATATAAACTTAGAGGTGATAAAAATTATTCTATTAAATGAATATATTTCAAATATTACCTTGGCATCAATGTTATCCTTCTGACTGTTTGTCGTCTCCAAAACAGCCTTGATTGAGTTATTGATTAGTAGTCGAATGCTACCTAGTTCTTCAAAAACATCTTTCTTGAAAGATCCAAGATCTAAACCAACCTACATATTAAAATATAGAGAGTTAACGAAAACATTGGCTTAACATAAATTAAAGAAACCATCCAAGATTATGTATATATGTTACCTTGTCAACATCTTTTCTTAATTTTTTAATTTGTTCGAGAATATCTTTCTTGTCCTCTATTCCAATTGACTGCTTGTGTCCCGATGGAGATGCAGCATCTTTCAGAGCGTCGAACTTGGTTTCAACTTCTTCAAGTATGTATTCAACTTTATCAGGCAAAGACATTCTAGAAAGCTCTTCTGGTGCTTCAATTATGTTGGTGAACTGAGTGAAAAAAAGAAATGAGCTTGACTTAGACATAATATGTATAAAAGTTATAGATAATTTGTATTAAATTATCTACTCATAAGTAAAAACCATTTACCTTGATCCATGTTGGTTTGATCATTCTATCTTCAATTGCAGATAACCATATCTTGTCCTTACTAGCTAGCCAGCTAAGAATGCGAGGGATAGAATTAGCAACCCTTGTAGCTATATCAGTGTTGAAGGTAGAGCAACACTCATACAACCATATTTGCATAGCTAGTGCAAATCCTCGAATGAGATAAGAATGAACAGAAGGATTGAGCTTGTGCCTAACGGACTAAAGCAACTAGGGTTGGGCATATTTCGGTCGGAACCGAATAAACCGACTGAACCAAATTTTTTTTTTCGGTTTCGGTTATTCTGTTTTTTCGGTCAGTTTCAGTTTAAAATTTTAAAATTTCAATTTTTCGGTTCGGTTTTCGGTTATTAAGTTATTTAGTTCGGTTAACCGAAAAACGGAATTATTAGCATATAGGTTCTTTAAGTTATATATAGGCTAAGCTCATAGGTAATAAATTAATACTATTAGGTCCAATCTATCAAAGACTCAACCCAATTAAGTAAGTCCATCAACTTCCAATCTTAAAGACTTTCACTCTATTAAAACTTCCATAGCATATATGATAGATACCGGGAGGATTTCACATAGAGTTGTAATCTACACTATGTTTGAATTTTATGATTCATAATATTGTGCAAAGTTTAGTCTATTTTTTTATAAACACAATATTCCCAACAATTTTGAAGTTTTGGGAAAAAACAGCAAATTCGCTGGTCCTATTATTAGATAGAAGGAGCCCAATATGATAATGTTCAAACCGAAATAACCGAACCGAAATTAGAAAAAACGAACTGAACCGAACTTATTTCAGGTCGGTTTCGGTTACTACTTTTACAAAACCGACAACCGAATAACCAAATCGAATTTCTTCAAACTGAACTGAACCGACCGAACGCCCACCCCTAGAAGCAACTGTTTGTAAGAATCAATACCCCATGCGTAGTTCACATACTGTCCCGAGTCCACCAAATAAAACCTAAAATGGTCTACCAACCCTGCATTGTTGTCACGACCCCAAAACCAACCCGGTCTTGATGGCGCCTATCATGGAACTAGGCCAGCCGACACAATCCCAAAACCAATCAATATTTTCATTCTTAGGATAAAATCAAAGCTATTTAACAATAAATCTTTATAAAGTGTTTAAAACTAAACAACGGTGCGGAAAGAAAGCCCGACATCAGGGTGTCACTAGTCATGAGCATCTAGAGTACAAGTCTAATACAGTCTACTAAAATGACAAAGGAGTCTAAAACAACTGAACAGCTATAAGGTAGGAGGAAGAAAAGTAGGGCTGCGGTCGCCAGTCAGCTACCTTACTAACTCCGATGGACCTGCCACAAAGTAATCAACGCCCGCTACCGGGCTCAGGAATACTTGGATCTGCACACAAGGTGCAGGGAGTAATGTGACTACGCCAACTCAGTGAGTAACAATCATAAATAAAGGCTCAGTGTAGTGACGAGCAGTAAAATCACATAAGGTTCACAATATAAAATCTCAGTGAAAAATAACAAAGGCCAAATCAGTATCTCAGTCAAGGTATCTCGTAAAACTCCAATTTCAATGAAAACCATATAAAAACATTTTTTGTTCAACAGTTTTCAATAGAGGCTCAATGTAAAAGAAGAGGAGTGAAAATAGTAATTTCATAAACAAGACCCTCGGGCGAAGTGTCACTCATATATAGCCCCTCGAGCGAAGTATCGTTCATATATATATATAGCCTTTCGGGCAAGTATCACTCATATATAGCCCCTCGGGCGAGCCTCTCAGTCACTCGTGGCTCAACTCTCATCAACCGGCACTCACACTCAGCACTTACGCTCAACAGGTACCGTATAATAACCATTACGGCGTGCATCCCGATCCATGAATATATAGTCGACTGCGCTCACTGGGGGCGTGCAGACTCCGAAGGGGCTCCTACAGCCCAAGCGCTATATCACTGTGGTGTGCAGCCCGACACACACACACACACACACACACACACACACACACACACACATATATATATATATATATATATATATATATCATTGCGGCGTGCAGCCCGATCCATAACTATATATACTCCTCACCATCAGGCCCTCGGTCTCTCTTAGTCAACAACCTCACAAGACACTAGGGCATTTTAGTGAAAAATCAGGGAACTCAGCCCAAACAACTTTCATATATTTAAAAATAGAGTAATTGTAACGACCCAACAGGTAGTTTCATGTCACGACCCGGATTTCCCACCATCGGGGGTCGTGATGGTGCCTACTATCGGAGCTAGGCAAGCCAAGCATTTAAACATTTTCTGATAACATCCCAACAATAATAATAATACGAGTCGTTTAAATAAAAGCGGAAGTCTTTAAAACATAGATAACTGATAACCCAAAATGCTGAAGTTTAACATTTCTCTACCCAAGACTGGTGTCGTTATCTCACGAACTACTAAAGAGTGCTACAAATAAGCCTGAATAGAAATACATAAGTGTCTGTCTCGGTACAATGAAAACAAACTGAAAACATAGAAAGGGACTCCGGCCTGTGAACGCCAGCTAGGCTACCTCGTAAGTCCTGGACTGAAGTCAGCTCCCGATCAATATCCTACTGCTGTGGTCAAAAGCTGCTCCGGTATCGTAATTTGTGCAAAAGAGCACAGAAGTGTAGCATCAGCACAACCGACCCCATGTTCTGGTAAGTGCCTGGCCTAACCCCGGCGAAGTAGTGACGAGGCTAGACAGGACTACCAAACCAACCTGTGCAATTCTATATATATATACGCAATAAAAGGAAAGAACAAAGAAATTAGACAGTTAAGAGGGAGGGGAGCATACTATGGGGGAAATATAGTCCGGATATAAAGTCAACAATTTAAGTAAGCAACAGGGCAATAACAATAATTAATGAGAGCAGGAAAGTCAACAGTTGCACGGAATGACCCTTCGTGCAAATATAATCAAAACATGGCACGGAATGACCCTTCGTGCAAATATAATCAAAGCATGGCATGGAATGACCCTTCGTGCATCATCACTCTTCCTCACCCAAATAGTAATCACAACCAAACGCGGCGAGGGGATAAACAAATAATAAGAAATGTCCCGACAAGGGAATTACACAATTAACAGCTAAATCCCGGCAAGGGAGCAACAACAATACTTTCATATCCCGGCAAGGGAGATAATCAATATACTCAAACCATCCCGGCAAGGGATTAATCATATCACTTTCTATTTCTTTCATTTTTTTACTCAATAGTCTTTTTATCGTTCGAGCCAACCTCTAAAGAATTTACAATTCATAATTAGTCCTCATACTCTTCACATTGCATAGAATTCATCAATTAACATGGAAGAGTCATAACAATACCCGGATAAATACATACAAGGACCCACGGTCATGCTAGACACCGGTGTATAGATATTCGTCACCATGCCTATACACCATACTCAACATTTAGCAATTAGCAAACAACACTCTAATCCTATTCCCTCAAGCCAAAGTTAGATCAAACACTTACCTCAAATGCTCCAAAATCAACTCAAGCCTCTAGTATAGCTTTACCCCTCGAATTCAGCTCCAACTCAGTCAAATCTATGAAATAATGACTTTACAATATTAATAATAGCTAAACAAACTAAACCCAATGCCTAAATATGAATTTCTAAGCTTTCTACCCAAAATTCCAAAAATCAACCCCGGGCCCGCTTGGTCAAAACCCGAGGTTCGAACCAATTCCATGTCACCCATTCCCCCACGAGCCCGAATATACAATTTTGTTTTCAAATTCGACCCTAAAACGAGGTCTAAATCAAAGAAAATTGGAAAGCCCTAATTCTACCCTTTTCCCCCAATTTACACCTTAAGTTACATGATTTAGGTCTAGGAATTTGACAAATGATGATAGAAAATGAAGAAAACGAGTTAGAAAATACTTACCCAAGAAGCTTTGGTGAAGAATTGCTCTAAAAGTCACCTAGGGGCTGTGGAGAAGAAGAGCTCATGTGAAATTTGGGAATAATCCCGTCACTGGGCAANACATTTATTCATATGTGACGCAATGCTTTCTGAGCGTGCTTGTTATTTTTTGTAAAGGCAACTCTACATAAGCGTGCTCTAAAAAAAATTCTAAAAGTCCCCGCTATAATTTCCCCCCAAAATTTTGCTGAAAACCTATGCCCTAAAATATTTTCCTAAAATCTATCTTTCAGGTTTTACCCACGCTAGAGGAAAATCTCCTTGTTTTCTTCCCTAAAATTCCATAAGCAAAGTTGAGGGCACTTCTTATATCTTTTAGCAAATTGAGTAAAGCAGAGTAGAGTGGGTTGAAATATTTCCATTGGATTATGTGGAAATCAGATTTAAATGGGGATTTCGTTATTTAGGGCTTGCAGCCGCTTCAAGAATCTTGTCTAAAGAACTGTGCATTCTACCTGTGTTTGTTAATTTAGACTGTTGTTCGTTGTATTCTCTCAGTTACCACCATATACATCGAGAGCTAAATTTAAGTACATTGTCTTACCAAAAGTTATTATCTCACAGTTAGTTTCTTTTGAACCCAAGTTCCAGACTATAAATTGAAGGAAATATTTTGTATATAGAAGTTTGTTTGGATTCAGAACGCAATTTAACTGGAGGCAGGAACAATTTCTCTTCTGATAGATCAACCTAAGCAAGGATGTCAAATAAAGTTTCTCCTTGGTGGAATTGATCTGCATTCGCTTGTATTGAAATACAGTAAGGAACCACAACTTATGACATCACAGTCCATTGCGTGTTTAAAATATTTCCACTTCAATAATTATTGCTCGATCAAGAATATCAACCTCGCAACCATACGGCTTGATCAATGGTTCATTCAGCTAGTTTACCTTTTTAGCTGGAGCAATCAAACCCCTGTAAATGATGTTGCCTCCTATCTAGATTTTTATATGTCAATTTTAAGGTTATGCTCTATTAGTTTGTGATGGAGGTTTATTCTTCTTGATAGGAGAATACTTTTTATTTCCTATTGTCCTACTGTTCCCTCCCTTTCCCCTCATCTCCCTCTCTGCTTATCAAAAGTTCATCTTTGTTCTTGTCCGCTTAGTCGATTTGCTACATCTCCAATTTTTTTTTCTGTGAATTTCATTAGTGGTGGTTTCAATTTCTATTTTCTT